AAGTAGTTGGGGCAGGAGTGACATGGATTTGTCTGAATTTTGAATGTTTGCCTACTCTACTGTTCTGTTCATTTGAAAGCTCCCGCTCCAGTTCTGGTGAGAGCTAAAATTGTGTTTTTAGACGGAGGTTGTAGCCTAGTATGTACAAATGCCACATGAATGAAGAAAAAAAAAGATCCAATGATTGCTGAAATAGCCTAAATGCACAGTAACATGCCAAAACATATATAAAATTAGGAATTTTGTGCTTCTGAGTTTTGAGGGCAGAGCAAAGCCCTAACATCAGGATATAAAGGCCTCGTTCGCTTCGCTGAAAAAACAAGCCGAAATAATGTTCCGGCTGATTTGTTGTGAGAGAAAAAACTGTTCCGACCGAAAAAACAAGCTGAAAAAGACGGATTATAAGAGAAGCGAACAGGGCTAAAGTGTCCTACAGCAACGATAATCCCAATTCCCATGTCAAGCCTCATGCAGGCTGCTAAAATACCTAGCCGTTACAAGGAAATAAGTGTTAGACGTTTTCTATGATACATCATTGCAGTACCTAATACTTATATCTTCTAAAATTTTAACCCGAGAGCACGAGTTGATGGACTATTTTTCTGAAATATTTAGCTGTAGAATTGCTAAACCTCAACCGGTTGATTTGGCCTCTCCAATCAATTGATTTTTGGGCCATCTGATCTTACGCGGACGGCTAGCAGGGGGCGCGGCCGACGAACAGGTGAGGCACGCGCAGTCAGTGAGGGCCGGCGAGGCAGCAGGTGCGGCCAGCCTCAGAGCTCGCGGCCCCGGCCATGGCAACAGCCACGGACGGATGCTACGAGGAGGCCGACGAGGAGGGCCGCCCCCAGGCCGGATCACCGTTGCTGCTTCTTCTCCGGACTCTGTTTGACTCAACGTTATGCTAAATTGGATTCTTTTCTGGAGAGGGTAATACAAACTACTAGTACCGGATGTTTCACTGAATTCTCGTCCATAAAGAATGGAGTTCTAGCACAATATTAAGTTTTACTTACTATATATAAAAATATCAATATTTATAGTACCAAATAAATATCACTAGATTTGCCATGAAATATATTTTTAGTAGTATATTTATTTAGCATCATAAATGTTATTATTTTTACCTAAATATTCGTTAAATGTTAGATATTTTCTTAACCCATGTAGTAGATTATAGATAGGTTCACATCCTGCCTCTGGGGCTACCTTCATAAGCATACTCAGTTAATCTGTACTTCTTCGCTAATTATTATACACGTAACTGGAAGTTGAAGTTTGTAGTTTGGACAACTGTACAACTGCATCAATCAGCTACGGTGGCATACGAGCACTTACACGACTAGAGTAGTACGCTGTGCATCCTTTATTGCACGACTGTACGTGGATGTGCTTCAAGCCTCTTCATCAAGGAGACACAAAAAATGGCAAAAAGGTATGGATTACATCAACGCTCAAGCGTCTACCATTCTTGACCAAATTGAAACTAGTGCAACAGATACCAGATCACGTCCTATAAAAAAATACCGGATCACGTATTATCAAACAATTTTCTGGTGTGTATGTAAGCACACAACAAATCATTAATTTGACATCGTGCAGCCTTTTTATTTATTTAAGAAAAGAAAAAGCTAAAGGGTTTAAGCTATCAAATGAACAGAACAGTAGAGTAGGCAAACATTTATCTGTCCATTCCGGCAGCATTATCAAATTTCAGACAAAATCCATGTCACTCGTGCACCTACTACTTGTTGCCCTGGCCCCAGTAATAATTTACCGCTTCAAAGCAGCAGCAGGCCAACAGCTGACACCCTGACCACCACAGGTGTTAGTTGTCATTACGAACCCCTGCACCCGCACACAGCTCAATGTCCGCAGCTGGCCTAGATGCCATGCCGAGGCCGCGCGGGCAGGCCTATGCTCCGGCCATGCCTAGCTTTGCCTCGTCGCGCCATTCTCCATGGCGCGTCACTGCCCCGCCGCCGCGCCACCATGCATGGCATGGCACAGACGTTTCGCCGCGCCATGGTAATAGGCATGGCAAAAAGTGTTAGATTTGAAAAAAAAGTGTTAGATTTAAAATTATTTTACAAAAAATGTTTAAAAAAAAAAAATTCACAAGGTTAGAGGGGAAACAAGTAAGCATAGATGAAAGCATAGTAGAACGTCCAGTTCTAACTAGGCTTACGTCCTACAGTCAGCATTGCTCTGATACCACTTTGTAGTAACCGGTTTAACAACAAAACCAGATACACACCATATGTGAGACCAGAAAGTCAAATCTCACATATAGCTAAAATAAAGGTAATATCAAAAGATAATGCTCAATATATAACGTACTTAGTATAAAGAATATAACCTTAGATAACAAACAGCGGAAAGACAACTCCGATATTCGGGTGAAGACTCCAATTCCACATGAACAACTGACTGGTTGATCACAAGCCTAACTCCTCCAAACTAGCAATCTGGTACCCATCCGGGATTTTTATCCAAATAATTGAAAAAAGGAAAAAAATAAAGCAAGTGTAAGTACATGTCGTACTCAACAAATATAGTATGGGGTTCATGAGGCTCAAAAGGCTGACACTGGTTTAACTGCGATTAGCTTTTAATTGTCATAATTTTAGCATAGAGTAGCAACAAGTTTATCACAAGCCCATAAACACAGGATCGGGTAAACATGAATAATGAATAGCATAAACAGTAATCATTAACGAGCATCTTTGTCATCCGTATCATCAGTGTTCATCATCTATTCCGTAAATGTTCCAAGGCCACTCGTGACTGTGAGCATGGCTGATATACCAGTTTTACACTCTGCAGAGGTTATACACTTTCACTGTGAATCGTGATTGATCATTTCACTCGAGGTGATTAGCCTCTTGACCCACTACCAAGGAAGGTCGACAGGGTTCACTATAAAACCTTTCAAATGTTCGTCTAACAAGTTAGGGCCGTTAGATTCACTCGACAAACAGATATAGGAGCCCCCTGTCGAATGGCACAATTCCATCACGGCTATACACACAAGAGTAGAGGCTATTCCTATACCCGATTCAACGAGCCATTCTTACGCCAATAAAGATAACTACTAACAAGTTAGAAAAGGTTCTCGTACTGAGCTAAAGTCAGAGCCATGTAGCCCTCACAGCTGTACTGTAAGTCCCGAATGATCACTACAGATAAGTCCTTAGGGAGAGAAATCTGAAGCATTTAGAAAGTAGCTAAATACTCCGGCCCCCTGTTTCTAAGTTGCTAAAAAGTCATATTTTAATGTTTATTGCACATACCCCTGGAGACGTCGACTAGGAGACATGGATACTCCATCTTTGGATTCTTATTTACTTTCTCGTGCAGTTCCATCATCTTGATAAGGATCTCATTTTACTTTGCATACCTGTTAACCTTACTCCAAGTAACTTGCTCAACTAATTCTAAGATTTTAACAGGCACTTTGAACAAAATTCAAAATTAAATCAATTTAACTACATTTCTAAAGTAGCAAAATTTTAGGGTGTTAGATGCATCTTTGTATTAAGGTACAAAGTTTGATACACAACGCGCTTTCTGATGAACGCCCTGGAGGTCTACAGGATTATAACTATATATGGGCAGGACCAACCTAGCAAACATGTACAAATTTCGATATTACACAAATGATAGACAACCGGGATAAGGACAACAACATAACCTAGGGAGGTGGCTTGCGCTTCCGCTACTGCCAGCGTGACTCCTTCCTGCCGCCCTGGAAGAGCGCTTCGACGTTGGAAGCGTTGGGCTCAGCCTCGTAGGTCTTTATCGCAAACACGCTTGGCGTTGACGGAGCGGTGACCAAACCCGTTCGCTTCATGTTTAGGATCTCACCTTGCTCGGAAGCAGGCACCTAAGACTTAAATAAATTTAGAAAAATACAAATACTTATACCAAATTGATGACTTAAACGGGTGGATAGGTTCCACTATAAAAACCTAACAAAATATATTATGCCAGGTGGCCAGAGATTCAACTATGCGCCGTAGACAGTTCTGAACAAGACGTTGAACTTGTTATCTCGCAGTCTCGCGCCCTTGATGCTTCTGAATTTAATAGCACTCCTCCCACGACGGTGGCCATAGTTTAGTCGCTGCAGTACAAGCTCCACTTGGGGGCGAGGACGAGGAGGCGGGTGCCGCTCCTGTGGCCTCGCCATGTGCTCTCTCTCCCCGTCCTCGGCTCCTCCTCCCTCCTCGGTATCTACATGACATTATGCCAAGATCTCTCTCTGATCTGACCAGAGCCGGGCCACCGCTGCCATTCGCGTCTGCTCCTCGCAAACCCCTGTCTCGCTTTGCCCTCCGTTTCGCCAACTATAAAGCCGGGGGTCCTGTGGTGTGTGACCTTTTTATACCGATGTGCAGTGCAGGGTCAACTTCGTCGTCAGGCTTCTTGGTTCCAACAACCTTCCTGGGTGGGTCACTCTGTAAGTACACTGGGCTGGGGAAGTGAGTGCCTCATGTTCTTGATTGACTGATTATTCTTGGATAGGATGCTCATCGATCTTGGCTGCTGCTTTTGCTAAACCCTTTTCTGGCGATCTGTTCTGTTCATCTTTGTTGAACGTATACTTTTGGTTCAGTTGAGTTGCCATATAGTATTTCAGAGTGTGGGGGCTGAGATCCACAAGACCAGAACATGTTTGAAATACCTGGAATTATTTACTAATATACTGTCGAATTCTTTGATATGATTTTCAAAGTTGTATGACATGATGAGCTCGAGTTTAGCTGACTCTCCCGAGCTGAAAGTATTCGAACTTTGTATATTTGATTCATTGCTTAGTTCTTTTCTGTGTTCACTGCATTCATAGTTCAGTTGTTTTTTTTTTTCTGTGTGACTCTGCTCTCTTCATTTGATTCCTACTGTTGTTAATTCTCAGTCAGTCCCAAATGCTATTTCAGAACATTTGATGGTAACTCCACTCCTCTGAATTTGACTATTACTCAGAAACTGTAAAGATGGGGTGTGGTCCATCAATCCCCGAGAAGTACAGCATACGAGGGAAAGGGCGCAAGCGCCGGAGCATCATACAGGAGGTTGCTGTGTTCGTGCCCACCATCCGCATACCGGTGGCTTCTGACATAGCTCATCCACTCAGGGGAATAGTTTCCAAGGATCTCGTCGATCGCCTCTCCACACTCCGTGCTCATGTCGTTGCGCTGGCTGAAGAAATCTGTAAGTTCATCACTGATCTGTGGTTACTATACTATTGCTCTGCTCACCAGCAGAACTTGGTTGTTGTAAAAGGTTCTGATTTACTGTTTTAACTGGTGACCTCATCCTATGCAAAGATTCTGCGGACGTATCAGCTGTTCAAGAACTGCAACATGCGTTAGAGGAGTACTTACCAGTTGTTCTTGGTTTAACAATGAAAGGTTTCAACTTTTTCTTATTCACTTCTGTATAATCTCTTTGTTTTTTGAGGAATCTCTTCTGTATAATCTTCATGGTTAATTACTCAAAGATTTATAATGAAACTTTGATTGATCTGAACAGAGAGCCGTCTTGAATCATCAGTACAGTTCAGATGGAAGACCCTAGACGATGACCAGGTGAGAGTTTGGCAACACCTTTGCTATTTTAGTTCCTGTTATTATTTGGATGCCTTTACTGATTGAATTACAAGAGGTTATTTCTTATTCAGGAGTGTTGTTTGGCGAGTGCATGGTACGAGGTGCTCTCAGTGGTCCACATGATGGCCATGCTTGCATTGTTTGAGGCTAATCTATTACTCATTCCAAAGAACAGTCAAGTTGGTGGTGAAAGGAAGGTATCAGAAGGTCTGTTCATCTTTTTGCAGTAGATATCAAAAATTGTTTTGTTACTACTAGTAATAATTGGGGAAACTTCGTCCTCATGAATTCTTTTGGTAGCAGCATAAGGAGGACTATATCTCCTCATGAATACTTTGTCGCATATGGTAAAATTTTTTTGGGGAAATGACACTTTGTGATTACTTCTGCAGATGCAAAGAAGGATGTTGTGGATTCATTGCTGAGGGCGTCGGGATGCTTAGACTATTCCGTGCATCGCATACTTGTTCAAATACCTGCACAAGTCAAGTATGTACTCACCCTTCAATGCATATTAGCCAGGAGAAGTTTGAAGTTATCACCTCTGAATGTTCCTTTAAGTAAGTGCTTACTATACCTTGTGCTTTCAACTGCAGAAAGAGTTTTCCTAGTTACTTGCAGGAGGGTATGCTTGAGGCCATCTCAATTCAGGCATTGGCTCAGGTAAGTTCACCTGTTATACTTATATTTTTTTTTTATATCATGGTGCTGAATTTGTAATTAGCTTGTACTGTCCAACTGCACAAAACAGTGTGTAGAAGTACAGCTTGGCTTGGCTTCTGAATGTGAAAAGGCAACATTGTCAGTAAAGAGGAGGCTAGCCTGTGAGCAAGTTAGTTATTTTTCTCAGGTCAGTATTGCATAACACAGTCCTACAATTGACATTTTCTTCAGTTATTTCAGCGTCTAACAATATTGCTACTTATTTATGCTCAGGCTCACTATTGTCTGTCGGGATGCGATACAAGTGACTCGTATGGAAAGAAGCTTCTGCTGTTCCTGAAGTGGAAATGCATGGAGGCTAAGGTTGTCTGAAGAAACAACATATATAATCCCTTCAGATACACAAGACTGAATTTCTGATGTTAATTTATTATCTTGCCCATCAGGCTGCAGCATATTACTACCATGGTCTCGTACTCGACAAGGGCGGTGAACCGGCCAACCATATCAGCGCAGTCTGCTGCCTCTCTGCAGCTGATGACCTACTTTCAGACAGCAAAAGGGCTTGCTTGAGTTTCTGCTTGGCAAATCCTGTCACAAGGTCTGATGCTACATTACTACTCCAACATAGCTAATAGGTTAAATTAATCAAAATATGTGCTGACGGGATCTTTTACTTATTCAATTGTACGTAGGGTACCTCCTCCTTGGGGTGTCATGAAAAACATGCACAAAAAAATTCCAGATGTCGCTTACAAGAAGTTTCAAGTGCATGGGCATCTGTTTGAGCAAAACAAGAATAGGTAAATCCCCAGATCCTAGGACCAACTCTACATCTGAAATGGCAAATTTTACAGTTGGAAGGTTGTTGTTTGTTGATTCTAATTGCTTTTGCCCAAATACAATATTCAGAGCATGTTGAAAATTGAAATGGTAGTCTGCTTGAATTAGGCTCAAGAACATAGATGAACAACCTATATCATTCATATTTATTGTTTTGCTCTAGTGGTAATTTCACTACTTTCCTGGTGCAGCACACTTCAATCGGTTCCTGATCTACCAGAGTTTGCGTTGTCACTGAGACCGGAAGGATACGAGTTGCCAAACACTGATTCAATCTGGGAGAATGTTAATGGCCAACCTCAGATTCAGAGCCTCAAGGAGCATCTGAAAGATGGCGAAGATGAAGTAGATTCAAAATGATAGTTCTCACTTCCAAATGCTTCCTTTCATTGTACCACCAAACGTAGCAGAAGTTATACTCTAGAATTCAAAATGCTTAATCCAAAATGTTTTGGATTCAGCATATGCCACAACTGCATCTGTATAATTGCAAGGATTACCATATGAAATAGTAAAGTCTTGATGTATAATAGAATCATAAATAATAGGAAAGAATAGTTAGTTTCTTACTGTAATCGCCTTAATTTTACTTTCCCAACCGGAAGAACAGAGCATCACAGAAAAAAAAACTATGGCACACATTTCAATAAAACAATAATTGTCCATTAGCCTGGGTGTGCGCATTCATCATGTACATGAAACTTAGAACTTGATCTGTAGTAGACAATTTGAAAGGTCAGTCTCACGTGTTTACTAATTGTCGGAGTTATGTAAATGGGATACCCCAAAGCACGGCTTTAAGAGCCGATTAGGCGATGGCCCAGCTGGCCACCAGCCCAGCTAAAAACGGCCTGCCTCGACTCCTCACCCTCGAGCCAAACGAGGCCGACCCGTACTCTCCCACCTCTCGACCTCAGCGCATCACACGCGCCACCCTGGGTGTGCCATCATGACCACCTACTGTAGCCTTTGAAAGATCTCTCACGCAAAGGAAAAATGGGACAAGAGGAGGCCGAAGACGATGGCCCATAGCCCCAGCCCAGCTAAAACGGCCTTTTTCCTAATCCGTAGGCTTTTCAAACCTTGTTTTTTTTTGCCCCTGACCACCTACAGCCGTTTTTTCTCTCACAAGGGAAATCAACCTTCTTTTATAATCCGTAAGTTTTCAGCTTTTTTTTTCATAATGGTTTTCTCTCACAACGGGGCCATAGTACGCCTTTTTTTTCAGACGACGGGCCATAATGCGCCCGGACGAGAGCCGCATGCAACCTCCGCCAAGTACAAGGAGGATGCAGCCCATCTGACAGTTCGGACATAGGGTAGAGCGTCGCCTCGGTCAGCACCCCGCTGACAGACAAGACCACACTAGGGCATCACTACGTCACCCCCGTGTGGCTCAGCACCACCCAAATCCCATCCAGCCTGATGGACGGGCGTACGATCACACCCACCACAATGTGGGGACCACAACAGGGAGTCAGCTCTCCCACTCTGACCGGATCCTATGCCCCCGATCCGACCTCAGGAGGTCGAGGCAATAGGATCCCAACCCCGGGAGCAGGCAGCCCGCGATGGGACAGCCACTCTCCCCGTGACATCACGACTTCTCCTCAAAGAAGCAGAACACCAGGACAGAGGCCACGATGACATCAAGCAAGCCATACCGGCCAGGGGAGTTGGTGAGCAACCACCACTCCCGTTGCGCCGAACAGTACCACCACCGTATGCCACGCATTGGCGTAAGGAGCAAGCTGAAGACGACCATACCCCGACGCGACAAGTCCAGACGGACTACTTAACAAGCACGCTTGCTTCTCCACCCTTCGGACTCCTAGCCACTTAGGCTGGGAGAACCCTTACTCTTCATGTAACCTAGCCCCCGCAGCTATATAAGGGGAGCCCGGCCTTCTTTCGAAGGATGGACTCCAAGTCGATCGACTTCCGGTTGAAGTCGATCGACTTCCTACGATAGGTTTTCCCTTCCTCAAACTCTTCCCTCCAGTACGACTGTAGCTTGTATACCCCCTGTTGTAAGCCTTTTGGAGCACTTTGGTATTGAGGAACACGTACTCATATGTCTCTAGCACTAGACGTAGAGTTTCGTCCCGAACCAGTATAAATCATTTGTGTCCTGGGTGCTGACCATAGAATCCCTTAAATAGCGCAGTGATAAATTTACTGGTCGGTTCTCAAAACACCGACACTACTCTAGTTGTCAGACAAAGGTTATTTTTGTACACTTCATGATCCTTCCGAATGAGTCCAACGGTCTGAACAGTAAATGTGAAGAAATGCTTTAAGGTCTGGATCAACAAAAATGATTCATTTGACTTTCAGACGTATAATATTATATGTAGGAAGAAATATAGTTAGGAAGGTTCCACTCACCCTTTGATAAAAGAAATGCTCCATTCAAACATTTTGACTCCAGGACTTCAACTCACGTGCTGTTGGAAGGATCTATGGAAAAGCTGACTTACTGCCAAATGTTGCCTTATGGGTTAAGCATTAGTGACCGAAAGTTAGCCTGTGCGAAGTTTTTGGGAAATTTTGCTATAGGTCCCACAAAGAATCATGGTATTTTCTATGGGATCCATAGAAATACCATAATTGTCGAGTGTACTATCTGCCTTTGTTTTGAAGGAAACTTTTTGCTATGAGGTTACCACGTAATAATTTCAATCATGTACTTCAAAATGAAGCTGTCTAACAACACAACACATCTGACCCATGTACATACGTAACTCTTCTAAAAGTCTAGAAAATTAAGTAGTTAAAAGTTTTTGAGCTTTGGTTCCTAATTAAGACTAGTGATTTGTGAGTATAGACCACATAGTATAAAACAGAAATGCATGAACAAATTATGTAGACTGGATTTTATGAGTATAGGGATGTGGCTCATGTTACCTGTCAAATTGATACAATATGCTAATGATTCAGCCACATCATTGGAGGCCAGAGTTGAGTGGCTCAATCTCAGCCCACTGGTGCCGGTTTGACAGTTGTCACAAAATATATTTTTTAAAGAACTTATGTTGTTATTTACCTATTTATAGCGTATAAAATGAATTCATGAAAAATTAAAGTTTCAGTAAACATGTACAAACGGTACAAATTAAAGTCCCCATTCATTGTTTGCACGAATCACCATGTTTCTTTCAAATCAAGTTCTTAATGTTATTTGTACCAACAAATCCACTTTAAGGGCATGCAACTTTTTCCCAACAAATATTTCTTTTGTCCAACATCCAGCTTTGCTGCTAGTATAAAAACATAGAGAAAATTCTCCTTAGTCACTCTAAACTTGCTTGATTGTCTCTCCTATGTGTAACACCTAGCACCCAAGAACTTGCACGGTTGCCTCATTTAAACTTGTGCGGTTTCTCACCTAGCTAGCTCCCTGAAGGACTTGAACAGAAGCAAAGTTTAGGGGTGTAAGGTTAAATGATGCAAGATTGCAAGTTTAGGGGCTATGTGTGATAACCGTGTAAGTTCAAGGAGACGAGAAACTAATTAGAAAGTTTAAAGGGCCACTTGAGAAATTCACACAAGTTTAGGGATATATGGTGCAATTGTCTCTAAAACAATTATCATTTCTTTACAAGTTGGATGATCTACGTCAGGCAGCCTTAGCCGTATCATCATCATAAACAATTGAACACAGCAGACAATGTTATGACCGGCATCCCCTATGTCAGGCGCAGGCCCAATAGTGGCTAGGGGGCTGGTCTGTTAAGGGGCTTAGAGGCCCAATTTATCACTTATTTGGTATTTTCTTAGAGATAGATATAGTTTCTTAATTATAGCATCTATAGGGAAGGATAAATACTTGTAACCGGGGATGATTGAAATTAAGCAGAAAGCAACAATTAAGTTGCTGGCTTCTCTTGGGAGCCAGCCATCCCTGCCCTCTCTCTCCCTCGCATGAACAGTACCCCCGCGTTAATGCAGCGCTACATGAACTCTAGGGCTGCAGCAGCAGCCGCCGCTCTCGCTGCCACGGCCACTCGCCGACGTCGAGAGTACAGATCTCGTCCTCCCCTCTTCCACCCCTTTAACCTGCGTAGCAACGCCAGTAGGGCATCAGTCCTATCAGACAAAGAGGTTGCGAACACTTTGTGCCAGGTGGTAGCAAACGCCACGTAAAACATAAGTCCGATGGTGTGTATGTAAGCGCTTTGCGCAAAACCAAAATGTACCTTGACTATCGGGCCTACGGAGGCCACTCAGAATGAATGAAATCAAGTGGGGGATCCTCTCCCCTTCCGTCGACTTACGAAAAAAAAGGTGAAGTTTTACTTGGTCAGAGATAATGTTAACAAATCTAATCTAGAACTTACTCGAAGGCACAACAATTGACTAGAAATCTAGGGGTAACAATTGACAAATCTAATCTAGAACTTACTTCTGAAGAATCAATGAAGGAAAAAATGTTAATCAGACTGATCAAGACAAATTAATTCAACAGCCATCCCTTTTATTTATTCATAGAATCGTGTATAAAAAGCCTCCCTCTCCACCATCTGTGTGGCAAACAGTTCTGAGGTTCGCAGCAATGGCGGCCCAGTTTGCAGCAGCAGGAGTCCTCACCGGGCTTCTCGCTCTTGCAACATTTGCAAGCTGCAACACTGAAGGTATACCGATCAACTAGCAGACGCTATTTTCAATCTTAGTCTTTCCTGAAACATGCATGCTGTTGTCACTTGAAGGTGACATACTGTACAAGCAAAGGTTGGCATGGAAGGACCCAAACAATGTGCTGAAGAGCTGGGATCAGACGCTTGCCAATCCCTGCACCTGGTTCCATGTCACCTGCAACAACAATAACTCCGTCGTCCGTGTGTATGGCACTCTCTATTTGTTCCCTCTACGAGATTTGCATAGTTTTCTAATTTCCTATGGGAGCAAGTATAATCATCCCTATTTGTACCTTTCCAGAATTCAGAATCCCTGAAACATCATTAGACCGTCTGCAGTAAATTAGTCCTGCATCTAACCACTAAGGACTGAAAGATACAGTACTTATCTAAAAACCTTGTCAGGCTGAAGTCATTGTTTCTTGCTTCCTGCAGGGATTTGGGCAATGCAGGCATCTCCGGCCCTCTGCTTTCAGATCTTGGAGAACTTGAGAACCTCCAGTACATGTATGAATCGCATAACCTGTAGCAAGCAATTACTGAAAGCATCATAGAATGGCAATTTCCTGAACATGTACTTTCCATGCATGTTTGCAGTGAGCTGTATGGCAACCGCCTGAACGGTTCGATTCCAGAAACACTGGGCAACCTGACTAATCTCATCAGCTTGGATCTCTGGGTCAACCTGCTTACCGGCCCAATACCATCTACGCTTGGTTCCATCAGCACGCTGCGATATCTGTAATCAACCTTTTAACAAGATTTTCATATGCCCTTTCATAAGACAACCCTGAATTTTGACTACTATTTTTCTAAATTGCACATAAATGGAATAATGGTGTTCTCCAGGAGGTTGTACCAGAACAACCTGACGGGGCCTATACCATCATCGTTTGGCAATCTGACTAACCTTCGGGAACTGAAGCTTCAAGAGAATTCGTTGAGCGGCGCTATTCCGGCCTCCCTTGGCAACGTCAAAACATTACAGTTCTTGTATGTCATTGCTCCTAAATTCGCATACTGTATTTTGAATAGTCGAGAAAGATCATACTAGTGCTGTTCAATTATATATTTTATATAGTAAATTTAACTTTTGGCTCTTCTTTGCACAGGGAATTAAACGGGAATATGCTGACTGGCACGGTTCCATTGGAAGTCCTCTCCCTTGTCATTGTTGGCAACCTGACCGAACTGTGAGTAATATATCAATTTAATACATCATTAGCACTTCTACATGTACGGCTACATTATATCATGTGAGTGATGATCTTTTTTTCAAACATTGTCTGCATTTAGAAATATTGCTAGAAACAACCTGGATGGCACTGTGACATCGTCCGGACTGAGAGGTACTGACGTGATTGTAAATCCCAGTTTTGATAGGTTTAGCTTTTGGTTTTATTTTCACATGCATATACAGTATATATGTAGTGATGCTTACAAGAACTACAATTTGGCATTGTCACAGTGTCTGCGATTATCCAGGATATGCTGAAGACTGCATGATGGCTTGATGAGTCCTTGGATCAAGGCTTTGTTTTAATTTGCTTCATGCAAACGCTGGAAATAAATGAATAATTCCAATGGGATGCATTGGTCTAGACATCTTGCAGTAGAATATGTTTGTCGAGTTTAGCTCAATTTGTGAGGAATAATGGATAATGCGAGTTGGACAATTCAATTTCTCTTAAAAATTGGCTTTTGTCCTCAATAAAAATAATCTCTTATATAGTATATATAAGGGTAAAGTACACTTTCCAACCTCCAACTTGCACTGAAGTTCGATTTTCAACCTTCAACTATGAAACCGGGTAACAAACACCCTCCAACTATTAAAACCAGGCAAATTTGGTTCTCGGCTGATTTCAAAAGCGGTTTTCTATTTTCGGGAGGCGCCAAAATTTTATATTATTTTTTGAGCCTCTTAACGCCCTCAAATGAAAAAACTCAAAACTACAAAGGTGTAGATCTCATTGAGATCTCATTGAAAGCTACAACTTTGGTATAAAAAGTATCTTCATTTGACTCCATACAAAAAATATATTATTTTACTAATGCGGCAAGCGCTATTATGATGCTGAAATTTTATATTATTTTTTGAGCAACTTAACGTCCTCAAATTAAAAAACTTAAAACTAGAAAGTTTTAGATATCATCGAGATCTACAATTTTTATATAAAAATCATCTTCATCCAACGTCGTATTGAAGAGTTTTGATTTTTCGAAAGTTGAGTCTTCTCACGCGACAAAACAACTTTCGAAAAATCATAACTCTTCGATACGACGTCGGATGAAAATGATTTTTATATAAAAATTGTGGATCTCGATGATATCGACAACTTTCTAGTTTTAAGTTTTTTAATTTGAGGACGTTAAGTTGCTCAAAAAATAATTTAAAATTTCAGCATCATAATTGTGCTTCCTGCATTAGAAAAATAATATATTTATTGTATGGAGTCGAATAAAGATACTTTTTATACCAAAGTTGTTGCTCTCAATGAGATCTACAAATTTGTAGTTTTGAGTTTTTTTCATTAGAGGACGTTAAGAGGCTCAAAAAAATAATATAAAATTTCGGCGCCTCCCAAAAATAGAAAACCAGTTTTGAAACCAACCGAGGACCAAATTTGTTCGGTTTTGATAGTTGGAGGGTGTTTGTTACCCGGTTTCATAGTTGAAGGTTGAAAATCGAACTTCAGTGCAAGTTGGAAGTTGAAAAGTGTACTTTACCCTATATATAAAGCAGAGTTTCCTCTACGTTTGTCGATGTTTTACCACCGATAGCCTGCCACGGGGTTACCCAGGGCAATATGTTCGGGTTTCAGCGTATGCGAACTCGACGGTGAACGCAAGAGACAGTCGATTTATCCTGGTTCAGACCCTCGACTGTGGTCGAGTAACAGCCCTACGTCTAGTCGTCGTTAGCCTTTGCGTTGTATTGATTGTTCGGTGTTGTTGTGTTCTATGGTCCTCCCGTCTTTAGGAACCCCGCCCTCCTTTATATAGTCAGGAGATCAGAGTCCTAGTCTGTTTACAATGAGAGTTCATAGTAGGATTATAGAATAATACTACTACTAGGATTACATGGGAAGAATCCTAGTTGGACTAGATCTTCTCCCTTCCTGGCGGGGTATCCTGTGGGTCCCGCATCGACAAGCCCCCAAGCACTTCATGGTTGAGTTCTAGAAGCCTCGTCTTGTTCCTTCAGGTCTTGCCAAGTAGAAACAAGCGTCGTCCGAGTGCTTTCTTGAGCGAAATCGTATAGCGCTTCGTGAGATCTTTGGTTGGTGTGTACCTTTTTGAAGAAAAAAGTATTCTTATTTGGGTGTAGCCCCCGAGCCTCTTGCTTTTTGGCACAAGGAGCTGGAGGGTCTTTTCTTGAAATCACTCTGATTCTTCATCGAAGGGTTCCTGAGCATATACCTGGGTTCTTTATCAAAAAAGAGCTCGGGTATAGCTAGGTCCGGGTTTTTGTCTTGATGTCTTTAAGTGATCTATCTTGAAGAAGTCTTCTTGGTGATGTGCGCTTTTTTGGAGAAAAAGTGCACTCACTGAGTGTAGCCCCCGAGCCTCTTGCTATTTGGAACAAAAAGTTGGAGGGTCTTGAATCTTATGTTGTTTTGCAACTCTTGTCTTGAAGAAGTCTTTTGAGTGATATGCACTTTTTTGAAGAAAAAGTGCACTCACTGAGTGTAGCCCCCGAGCCTCTTGCTATTTGAAACAAAGAGTTGGAGGGTCCTGAATCTGAGTTGTTCAAAAAACTGAAAACTTCCCCTGATGCAGCCTCCGAGCATTCTTCAAAAAGAACTCGGATACAGAATCTTGGCGTATCCTCTGCTAGTCTTTTGTTGTCAGATGTAGAGTATGCTGCTTTCAGATGTAGAATCTGCGGCTTTCAGAGGTAGAGTCTGCTGTTGTCAGGTGTAGTTGTATGGTGGTGGTTGAGTGTAAATGCCTTTTGTTCATAGGTTGTACAGTGTTGGTATATTCTCCCGAATATGCTTGTTGTTGAGTACTGTTCCTTCACGCCTGAGTTCTCTTTCATTGAATTCTGTCTTTTCACCGTGTCCTTTGCTAGGTTTGATCCGCTGCTGCTCCCGGTCCATGTGCACCGCTTCTTTGGTCTATAAATATCCTCCTTGTGTGCTGATTTGATTCATCGAGCACTTTGTTGTGTGGTTTGAAATCCCCGTAGTCATGAATATGATAGTTTGTGAAGTAGAGCAGCCCCGACGTATTTTGTAGTTCTTGTACATCTTGTTGTAGCTGGAGAATGTCTTGTGAGAGGGATTAGAGGTAGACTAATCCCGCATCGGTATCATACTTGGAAGTACGTGGCGGTAGTTGGAGGAAGTCTTGTGATGTGGGATGCGTTCCTTCATCTAGCAGTTCTGGGTTGATCTTCGCCGCCTGTCTTGAGACTGTCTGGTGCAGATCAACACCATATCCGGTATCACATAAGACTTGGGTAGACAGATGCCTGCCGACTTCCCCTGGTCTATGTTGTCCCACCGTGCTGCTGATTTCCGCCTTAGATGCACTGTGTCCGTCCTTTGAAGAAAACAGTGTAGCCGAGTGCGGTTTGCTCTACCGAGTAGCAATTTGGAGCACGTAGTCGTTCCAGAACCTAGTCATCTCTGGGTTCCTTTTTGCTACCTTGCCTGTCATAGTACCGAGTTCATTGGATCTTGTAAGATGTGTAATCTTGTATCTTTTGAAGTCATTTGTAATGGAAAGAATCTTGTCTTCTGAGTTGTGACTCTTTATCCTGCTGATGTCCTGGTTGTTTTTGAGATTCCCGAGTTCTTTCTATAAGGACCGGGTTGTTATGCTCCTTGTGAGGTAACCTTTCGTTGCTTCATGGCTGATGAGTTCTTTTTGTAGCAATATGATAGCTCTGCCGTTCTGCTAGATGGATAGGTCCGAAATCTGCCCGTTGAACTGTACCGTTATGTGGATTTGTGCCTTCCGTCTTTTTAGCTGTGTCAGTGAATGGACCATTGCGTTCTCACATCGTGCTTTTATGGGCCCGGTGGGCCACGTTTTACTCCTGTAAGATCTATTTAAAAGGCCTTTTCGTCTTCTTCTTCTTTACTGCTCCGCTTTTGCCTTGAAACCCTAGCTTTCAGAAATCCACCGCCGCCATTGTCGCCGTCACCTGAGCGCTGCCATCTTAGTCTCGTCTTTCCCTAGCTCCTTTTTGCTTCTGCTAGTACATGGGTAGGAAGAAAGCTGCGAGCAAGTCCTAGGCATCCTTCGTGGACGAGGAGTCATCCCTCTCCGTGATCAAGAACCAAGAGTTCATGGCCATGAGGGCTGCCTAGAAGTTTTGGCTAGCTCCAACGACTGAAGACCAGCTTTGCGAGCTTGTCAGCGATGGCTTGATCCAGAGCAAGGCCATTGCTGAATGGAGAGCTCCAGGTGAGCATCGAGTCCCTGCTCCAGGTCCTGGTGAGATCATTCTTTTTGTCTCCTTTATCCGTGCTGGACTTTGTCTTCCTGCTTCCGCCTTCCTTCATCAATTTCTTGGTTATTTTGGGGTCAGCTTGAACCATCTTGCCCCCAATGCCATCCTCCATCTTTCTATTTTTGTATATCTTTGTGAAACTTTCCTTGGAATTCCTCCTTCTCTTTCTCTCTTCCGTCACTTCTTTCGTCTAAAGCCTCAACCCCGTCGTGAAGACACCAATGTTCTTGGCGGCTGCGGGATTCAGTTTCTCTAGGGTCTTAAAAGCAAATTCTTTGACTATGACCTGGTTGATTCTGTGAGGGATTGGCACGCTGACTGGTTCTATGCCACCAATTTGATTCCTTCTCTCACCGTTCATTCTGGATCTGGTCCCTCGGTTAACGACCGGTGGGAAAAGAACTCCCTGACGTCGGACGAGCTCCAGGCGATCCAGCCGTTCCTTGAGCGGATAAGCACTCTGAAGCAGCAGGGCTTGACCGACTTCGGAATCGTCTCGAGTTTTCTTCGCCGTCGTGTTCAGCCTCTAAAGGAGCAAGAGAACTTTGACTTCGAGTACTGGGGGTGAGGATCCTTCATGCATGGTCCCTACCCTTGAGTTGACCGACGAGGAGGTACTCGAGCATCTTCAGAAGATGTTGAAAGGGGCAAGCGTTGTCCCGCTTACCATCTCCGAGTACTGTGCAAAGAACCCACCTCTAGCTGTAAGTTGTTTTCTCTTTGTGCGGGTACTTTTTGTACTTCTTTTGCTGTATCTATTTTCGCTTAATCTTTCTTGTCTTGTTGTCTCATTCTTTTCGTAGGAATTGGGGCGTAACTTCGTTGACCCGATTCCCCTTGTCAACCTCCCTGCCATTGTGGGGGCTGGGGGTAGTCTTGCTGGGGTTTCTTTAACTAGTAAGTCGCAAACCATCGTAATGCTTCCTAGTGTTTCTTCCGCAAACCCTGATGTATATGTAGAGTACGTTCCTCGTTCAGTTCCTCGAGCTGCTCGTAGCGTCGGCAAGAGGGGGCGAGTCGCTGGTTCTTCTTCTGGTGTGCCTGCTG